ATTTGGTTGGGTAAATGTTTAGATTTCGAAATGGTTTCGTGACTGGAAAACGTGTCCAGAGTTGCTCTGGCAGTGAATTTCAAATGATTATAACTCTTTGCTCCGATATCGAAATCGAGTACCGTTTGCGGTATTAGAAACTAGACACTTCCAGTTTTCTAACTGTATAAAATGTATCCTCTGATTCCACTTGAGTGAACCGTTCCAGCCTTTCAAATTCACCTGTCCTGTTTCTCGGTTGTGTTAGAAAACCTGTTATGTACTGGAACTTGTTGCTTGAAAATGAGCTAGTTATGGACAGGATTTCAAAATGATTTCTTCTGAGAAATTGTAACCCTATAAATTTAGTTTCCAACGCCACCAACCATGCTCAATTCCAAGTTGAATTGAGTGAGTTGTGGCTGAATTGCGAAACTGTCTCATTGATGGAAAACCCTCTTTTTGGCTAGTTGAATGCCTTAATTTGAATTGGGACTTGTTATTTTGAAACTCTTGGTGTTAATCACCTACCAAACATGTTTTGGATGTTTCTTAGACCTTTTCTCTATAAATGGACCATATTTGAAATGATTTCACTTGGCCAAAAGTTAGAAAAAGGAAAATGGAAGTACAAGGCAGATTTGTCTTGGAAATTCTTGGAATTTTAGTGGCTTTATTAACTGGCCTTCCGTGTGAATTTTTACATGATATTTGACAGAGGAATAGCCCTTATATGGTAGGGTAATACTGCCAAATTTGGTGCCATTCCGAGTCCATTTAGATGCCCAACTGAAATCCCAAAGTTCATGTTTCAAATCTGGAAAATCCTTGTTCAGTGAGGAAATTTCAGTAACTTTGAGCCACTATATTTTGGTGCTCAAAACTCCGATTCTTGTTATGCTTGTTGTATTTTAAACTTTGATTTTAACTCTAATTGAGTTTCAAATTTCAGAGGTTAGATCGCATTTTGTGAATTTTGCCGAATTTTCAAAGTTGGCCGAAAACCAACCCCAAAACTGTCTTGATAGCCAAATCAGCAACTTTAAGCCAAAATTTGAGTGTCTTCCATTTGGAATCATGGAAAAGTGTCTTCTAGGAACTTTTAGTACTTTGGAAGTGGTTGCCAACAGTAGAAAGTTTTTCAATTTTGAACCTACAGAGAGTGAGATACGATTTTTCAAAGATTGCTTGTCAAATCTGAAATTTTCGAACTTAAAGGAAATTGAGTTTTTAGAACTCCCCATTTTTCCTTCGATATTGCTCAACCATTTTGCACTTGATTTCAAAGATAAAAATCAAATTTCTTGGTATTAATAAAACCCCACTTTTGAGTCTCATTTGCGAGTAATTAAAGCTCATTTTCATGATTTCTTCTAAGATTGTACAAGAGTGCAATCTTTCTCAATAATTAGGGGTTTTAAGCTATAGTGTGTAATAGTTCATTATTAATTGATCAGACATTCATGAAGACCTTCAAGAGAATTTCACGGTGGATGCCTGAACCCTCAAGTGGGCACTACTTCTTTGTTTTTGATTGGTGAGTGTCAAGTGCATGAATTGTTGATAAATGCTTGAATTGTTAATTGAGTATTATGGAATTGTTGAGACGAGTGTGTACTTTATCGCACTCGTTCTCCCTTAAGTGATGCTATAATTGAATTGTGCTATGTGAATTGATATTCAAATTGTGTGAAGTGAATTGTTATGTGAACTAAGTAAAGTGTTGCCATTGCAAATTGCATTTGTGTTGACTCGACGTCGATCGAAGTAAATCTTATCAACCAATCATATTTTACTCGTGGGGACGCCCTTGTCCTCTCTCTTTTTGAACCACGTGGTACTTAAGAGCTGAATACATATGATTGGATAATTGTACATGAACACGTTTAACTCGTAAGCTCTGAATGGAAGCATGTACCACACCGATTTGGGTGGAAGGTACCTCTCATACCGTTTCAGTGCTATAATCGGTTCTCTGAGCGATAGTATGTACCACACCGATTCGGGTGGGAGGTACCTCTCATGTCGACTCAGAACCGTAAACAATAATTGATAATCGTACATGAATCTGTTTAACTCATGAGCTCTGAGTGGATAGCATGTACCACACCAATTTGGGTGGGAGGTACCTCTCATATCGTCTCAGTGCTATAATTGGTTCTCGGAGCGATGGCATGTACCACACCGATTCGGGTGGGAGGTACCTCTCATGTCAACTCAAAACTATAAATAAAGTATAAGTCGATTGGAGCGATGTCTCATCGACTACTGAGCAATAGTATGTACCACACCGATTCGAGTGGGAGGTAGCTCTCATGTCGACTCAGAACCATAAACGTATAATCGATTCCCTGAGCGATAGCATGTACCACACCGATTCGGGTGGGAGGTACCTCTCATGTCGACTCAGAACCATAATTGGAGAAGTGAAATTTTACGGACTTGATTACCTACCCGGGTGACAGAATGTCATTACGAGAAAGTATTGGATTGAACTTTGGCAAAACAAGTAGGAATTAGCTCTTGAGAGCTCCTGTATCCTCAGTGAATATGTTAAATTGAAAGTTGTGAATTGTTTGAATGTTACAGCTTTATTTCTCGTTTAAATGATATTGTTATTTGAGCTACGTGTTTTGCATGTTTTCTTGGCCTCACGAGCATTCGCTCACCCCGTTAGATTTGTTTTCCTTAACAGGAGTTGAAATGGAAGGAATTATGGAGAGGTCGACTTGATGGCCCTTTTGATTAGAGTTTTGAATGTATTTGTTTAGACAACTTTTGGAAGCTTTATATTTTGGGAATGTAAGATATTTTGGTAACTTATGATGTAAGACTTGAACGATTATTAAGGAATTGACCTTTCTTTATATCTTCAACTTTTAGTATTGATTGGTTATTCTTAAGTTTGAATTGAATTTGTACCGAGTCCTGGCGAGAGTTGAGCAGGCGTCCCGCGGATACCCTTAGGTTCGCCCTTGGGAGAAGTGGGGGCATCACAGGTAGGCCACAAATTGGGAGAATTTGCACCTACTTTAAATTTCCGAGGACATGCAAAAAGCGATAATAGATCTCGTCGTTAATATTAAATATAAAATGATGCTTATGAGATTTCATTACTATTAATTTAATATAATAAATAATAGGAGGCAACTTTAAGCTAAAAAAGAAAAAAATAGAAGTATATGCTTTAGGTCAACATATATCTATGTCTGCTGACAAAGCACGAAGAGTCATTGATCAAATTCGTGGACGTTCCTATGAAGAAACACTTATAATACTAGAGCTCGTATTCCAACAAACAGGATCTAGACAAGCAACACCAAGGTTTGGATATGCGGAACCCTAAACCCCTTTAGAACCACTTGGATGAGAACTAAGAGTAAATCTTAACCCTCAAAAAGTGATTAAAGGAACTTGTGGTGTTGGTAGAATGGCGCCACAAACAAGTGTGATTCTTGCTTGATAAGCCACGAAGAACACTTAGAACCGATCTAGGATATTCAATGGATATTCAAAACTAAGAGAACTCGCTTTTTATTGCTGAAAATAATAATAATAACTTTATGATCAAGTGTTAATTGGCCAAGCCTTATTTATAGGCTTCACAAATCCTAATCCTAACTTATCTTGGAAAACCCTCACAAACTCAAATAAATCATAAATTGCTAACTTGCCTTCACGGCTATAACTAATCAGTTAAGTGCTCAACATGAGTTAATCCAACCTTATTTCCATTCGACTAACTAACTTCAAAACAAGTAAAATAAATAAGCTATCTGTGTTGCTCCTCATTGGCTTGGATCAGATTCACCAACGTGTGGTGAGTGTCTTGAATCCGTCCTACATGAGAGTGAACTATTTGTAGGAATGTTTGAAGATACTCTCGCAACTTCCTTGCCCTTGCTCGAGTCATTGGTCCAAGGTGCAGCTTTGGTGCATTTATGACCTCACTCGAGCCATTTGAATCAGCAACTGGAAGCGGTGGTCTCTCATCAGAAAGCGGGCTATTGTGGCTTTCCTATCTTCTTGAATGTCAGCTCTAAGCATGGAGATTTCCATGTCCTTATAGTAGTCCTCTAATCATGCCCTTGATCTTATAATTCCAGGTGGTGAAGATGCTCTTCTCATTCTTGTGGATGAGAAAAATACTGCATCTTGCACTCATGTGCCCAGACAGATTTCTAAGACAGATCTTATTCAACTATTACCTAATAGCTGGATTATTGACTAAGAATCTCTGCACACTCAAGCTAATGAATCCCTTGAGTCTTCAAACTCAAAGATCTCTTAGACTACAGAAGGAAGAATTTCAATTTCTTTTGATCATTCTTATTTGAAATCTACAAAGAATTCTTATCCTTCTGTTATGCTTGCACATGTACCAATGGAACTATCGAGTGATGAAGGCAAGTTATGGGGTCGATATGATGATAATTGTGAAAAATGTTTTCTCCAAGATATTATTGCTCATTTCAATGATGATGGAGAAGCAGTTTATCATTTTCAAGATCCTATTTCAAGCCACATATATTTTGATATGTATACAAAGTGTGATGATTGTCTCTTGGCACATCTTTATGGTGAAGATGAAATATTCAAGCCTCCAAGCTTGACCAGTATCCTATCCCCGCTACAAAGAAGGAACAATTCATAACTTTGCATATTCCAAATGATTTTCCTTTGCAATGGAAGCAACAGGGATATACCCATATTCACTTTGGGGCAATCAGGATCGCCTTATCATTTCATGGAAGGAAAGGACTACCAGTAGTAGCTCGAGTAGCTCTACTTGACACAAGATTCACAAAATACCAGCATGCTTGCATAGCCACAGTGGAAACAACTCTTAATGCTAGAACTATTTTTGTGACTCTTTTCCCAAATTTTAATGTCTTTGGCAGATCCTCATCTGCTAGATGCTTTAAAGGTATAGGTACAGATTGTTGGCGCCGACCAAGTTTCAAATGCAATTGCAGCAACCCTCCACTACCAGATGGTGTATAGAGTACAAAATCACGCCCTTAAGTTTGAAGCTTTTGGTACAAGTCTCTATGGTAGTGACTTGGTACAAACCGCTTCTTCATGAGGCGTTTGAGCTCGCTCCATGTGGTTATGGATGGTTCACCACATCTCCTTCTACTCGTAACCATATGATCCCACCAAACTATGACATAGTCGGTGAATTCGACCACAACTAGTCTCAACTTTTGCTCGTCCGTGTAGTTGTTGCAGTCGAACACTAGTTCCACTCGTCTTTCCCATTCAAGATAAGCATTCGGGTCTGATCTCTCTTGAAAGGGTGGAATTTTCATTGTAATTCCTCGAATTGTGTCATCAATAGCCTTGGTGTTTCTCCTCGGCCTCCTTGTTTCAATTTGCTCCATGTCCGTATCCGCATTTGAATCACTAGATTCATTTATGGATTGTTGTCTCCTTGATTTCTTAGAAGAACCTTTAGATGAATCCAAGTAATCAATCCTCTTATGAATGGACTCAACTTTTTGATCGAACCTCCTTTGTATTTCATTCCACATAGCATCCATTTTAAGGGCCAATTGAGCTATGGTAAGGTCATTCTCATTAGTCATGGTTTAAACCAACAAAACTTAACAAACGTTAGTAGAAAAACGCCTCACCCACTTCCTTTCGTGTTTCTCTCGCCCTCGTGTATCACTCAAGTGTTTTGTTAAACACTCTAATGCTCTCACCAAGCACTTCTCAAATCTCTTGATTGCTCCCTTTGAAGAAATCAGAATTTTCTCCAAGAAATTCAATCAGGCTTTCACCAAGTTCACACAAGATGGTGGCGTTCTAAAGTTGAGAATTTGGAAGCTAAATGGACGGCTAAGGACTCAAGAAAAGCTTGAATTATAATCTGTAAAATTACAGATTGCGGCCTTAAAGGATTACTCCAAGATTAGGAAAGTAGGGACGAGACTCTTCACCAAATTTGGAAACTAGTGATTAGGCACAATCGAGACTGATTTGGACTCGTTTGAGAGACCTTTAGACACGAAATTTAAACTGGAAAAGACTCAAAACACTGACTTTTTAAAGCTGGATAGATTGTTAACCACGGTAGGAACAACAAGCAATTGGCGGAATTTTTGAAATCCTAGAGGAAGAAGCAATTGGCACTCAAACTAGGATTTGTTTTGGCAAACCCAAGTCAACTTGGTTTTCCAATTCAAGTTGGTTTCCTTTTCTTGTAAGTCCGTTTCTAGTTTCTTGCTTTTCTCGTGTTCTTTTCTTCCTTTTTTTTGTAACTCAACCAGATTTCTTTTTCTTTCTTTTAATTCAGATCTCACTTCAAGAAACAAGGTTTTTTTGGGTTATGGTTTTACACAAGATCAGCCCCAACCTTTAAGAAACAAGAATTAGGGTTTGATCAAGTTCAAGATATGGTCAATCTTGGCTTCAAGAACTTCAAGAATCAAGCCACTACTTCAAGATTTCGCCCAAGAATTTTTAGAAGTTCAAGATATTATCAAGACTTCCAAGAACAAAGGTAAACAACCTTATTCTAGTGCAAGACACAAAAATTTCCCAATACCCTTTGTCAAGAAACCCTAGTTGGAACTGTGGATTTCAAGATAAATATAACGACCAGATTCTTTCACTTTTTTTTTGACTCCAACAATTTCAAGACTCAAAGAAACGACAATAAGACACAAATAAAGAACAAGAACACAGCAGCAACAAAAGTAGAATTTGAACAACAAAAGTAATTTGCGGACAGCCAAAAGCAATAGATAAAAAACTAGCGACTCCAATTTTTTTTGTTTGTTTTTGTTTTGATACATGAATCTGATTTGGGAATAAGAAGATACGACTCGAAAAAAAAAAAGAAAAAAGAGGATATAACCTGGTGGCTGTCAATTGGCTCTGATTTGGTAAAGTGTTGAATCTTCATTGTCTTAGCCTTCTATGATCCTCAAATCATTCCCAACGCGATCTTGAATTGTGCACACAAGAGATTGAAGTGATTCTCTCAGTTTCCTTGCACGAGCTCTTGTAATTAGACCACTTGGTACTTGTATAACTTGATCCTTTGCCCCTTGATCACCCTTGATCACTTGTGTCCCTTTATCAGCTTTGTGCCAATCGGTGTTGAAAGTGACGTATCAACTTTTATGTAGAATCCTGACATATAATAATGACCTCTGGCAGCGAGAAGCACATTATACTCCAAAATGTGTAATTCAAATGAGTTTTTTTTTATACAGTTGTTTTCGTTCGGCCATTAAAAAATATGTTTAGTATACACCAAACAAACAACTAAACAAATATTTCTAATTCAAATAGGCTATGTTAAAATAAAATTTGCGCTTATTGGTTATAGGTGCATCTCCATATTATAGACCACCAAAAATGAAAATTTGGAGTCCAAATCTATTAAGGCAGTTGTAGGGAGCCCAATTGATGCATCTTTATTACTCAACATTAGTTCACATTTAATGGTAGGAAAAAAGTACTACGTTGTTTTCTCTAGTAGGAGAACCTGTGACAGCCTCACCTTCCCTTAGGGCGTACCCCAAGGGTTAGCGAACTACCTGCCCAACTCTCGCCAGGACTACTAAGCCAAAATTACTATTACCAAACTAAATGGTGCAACAGAACTTCGATTAAACGCTCCAACGAAAAGCTATAGAAGTTGAAGACAAGTCAAAATCCGGCCAAGATGTGGCCGGATTTCCGACTGGATAGCTAGTCGGATTCAAGGCAGAGACCAAAACATTATTTTTCTTTTCCCCTGTCAGTTCGGCCATGTATCCGGCCAAGATTTGGCAGGATATTCGGCCGGATTCCCTGCGAAAAATTTCTTGCCAGATTTTTTTCTTTCCTTGTTCAACTTCCGCACTCGCCCGAATTTCCAACGGATACAAGAAAAGTCCACATAACTCATCGAAACATACCTTCCAATATATGGTTAAACCCTGATATACATATATATACATTGGAAACTTCAATAGTTCAACTTGAAATACAACAAAAATATCCATAGTGATACAAATACAATTAGGGTTTACTATTACAAAGGAGTTTAAACAAAAGAACATCTATAACTAGCTCAACTCTTTTCTCCAAAATCACGGTTCGAATATTTTGTCCCCTGTAAGGAAAACAAAGGTAACAGGGGTGAGTTTTCGCCTAATAAGGTACCAACAGGTCAAGCAGTTAAGAATCACGAAAGTACACTTGTAATCAATTAAATATAGACATCAAATAAAGAGGAAGGAACACCACAGTTAAACCGGAAGTGAAAGGATACAGATGGCTCTCAAGTGCCAATTTCCTCTTTTGCATTACTTGATCTAAACCCGTTGACCCTTCGTCTATGTTTAAAGAAACGACCATGATCGTAGACCCACTTTACACCAATTTTCGTTCACCAAACATACCCCTTACCGGACCCGAACACCAAACAGAAACAGTGGTGGTAATACTCGAGTATACCAAATATCAGGAGGGGGTTTCAATATTCAGTGAATTAGTAACAGTTCCTTATGGATCGTCAATCTATCTCGACCAAACCCTTGCTGGCTCGATTCGATTAACTACCAATGAGGTTTGAGCTCAAATTTCACAGCAAAGTCATTGGATACAAGCCTCCAAACGACACCAAATCATGCACAAGTAACAGATTCAAATTTATACAGTAAACCAGTCAAATAGTCAAGAGAAATGAGTGTGATAAAGTACACTCTCGTCTCATCCAGAATAAACAGAAGTTACAGTCATTCAAGTCACAAAGTCCAAACACAAGTAAATCAGTTAAGTAACAAGTCATGCGAGTGGTACACTCACCAGTTCAAGCAAAAAACTTCAAAAGTTTCCTCCAGAAATACGCCCTTGGTCACCAGCACGTCCTAAGAACAACCAAGATAAAATAATTATGGCTCCTACATCCAAAATCTAGTGATCAAAATTCACAATTGAGGCTCGACTACGAGTCGTATGTGTGAGACCCCAAAAATTCACTTGTCTTTATAACTCTTATGTGAACTCACTTGCCTTTGATTCTTGGTTGCTTTAATGGTTGAATTTGAGCCAAGGGAGTGAATTTTGTTAAGAAAAGTTTCATAATCTCAAGTTGTTAGAAAATCTAGAAATTTTCGCAGAAGGCTCTGCGCAGCTTTGGGAAATTGGCTATAACTTCGAATAGAAAAGTTAGAATTGAGTTCCGTTTGTTGCGTTTGAAACTAGACTCAGAGAGCTTCCTACGGTGTAAAATTCAAAGTTTGATTCAATGTCTATAAATTCTAGGAAAATGGCAAATTTGACTGAAAATTCTGCCCTGCACGAGTAAACATAGGAATGCTGTAGTAGCTTATGGCTTAATTTGGACCAACTTATGAACTAAATCTCTCTGAGGTGTCTTTTAAAGATTCTTAGTATTTGAAGTCTAACTTTTAACAAGCCAAGTTATATAAATTTTTGATATTTATAACTCAAGTTATAATTTTTCTAAAGGAAGGGCATAAATTAGGGTTTTTGTGCATACTAGAGTTTTGGTGTGTGTTTTTGTGTGCATTTTGGTAGTGTGATTGTGAAGACTTGTAAAATTCCTCATATTTTCTTAAAAATTCCCTTTTATTTGGAATCCATTATTTTACAATAGCTTTACTACTCATTCACTTCCTCAATAGTTACAATTAATCATAGAACCAAGGGTTTTCCCTTTATTTTCATCGTTAAGGTAAACTAGGATTTTTACGTCTTTTCGTAGTGTAATTATTCGGTATAGAGTGTCTATAAAATTTAGTTATTTAGAGTGAGTTTTAGATTATATTAAGTGTATGATTAGAAGTAATAATAATAAGTTACTGAATTGTAAGTGAAAACCCTAGTACGTGCGAAATAAGGAAAAACGGGTTGAACCGATATGTACCGTTCGTTACCGATTTAGTGCATCACTTGAATACTACTTTATTACCTTAATCTCCTTGTTTTAGTTGAGCTAATTAGCTCTTAATTAACCCTTAAGTCAGCCACCATTATTGACTAAGAAAAAGAGAGATATTTTGGTGAAAATATTTGTGATTAAGCCATTTGTCAAAAATTCAACCAAGGTCTTGACCAAGACCTTTGACCAAGACTATCCTTAGTCTTTATCTTGTAAAATAGAACCAAAAACACCTCATTTTCTTCATGCTTGGTCGTGACTTAGGAGAGGAAAAAGTGAAGAGAGAAAATTTTCCATTTTTTCAACTTGAGAGCTTGCTTGATTCTTGAGAAAATTACTGTAAAACTTGATTCTACTCCGATCAATCGTTGGGAAAGCTTTGAGGTGAGTTTGGTGGAACTTTTGGGAGGAAGAAAGTTCTTGTATCACAAGTTATTTTGTAGATTTTGAGGTATTATACTAGAAACCTCCCTTGTTTCTTTCTTATTTTGCAATTTAAGCAAAACATGGCTTGATTGTGGTGGATTGTTTGGAAGATTTCATGGTTTGACTTATTAACTTATAATTTTCAGCCAGGGTTTGTAATTTTCTATTTTTATTAGTGTTATTTATCTAGAATATGATGTGAATAAGCTTAGATAGGGAGTGGTAGTAGTGGTTTTATACATGAATAAGAAGATT